ATTTTCCTGTCACCCACTCTTTTTTCATCTAACTCTATGATTGTTTGGTTTTAGTCACTTATCTTGWCCATATGAGTCTTCATATGGGAGCATGTAGGTACACTGAATCTGATACTCAACCTTAAAACCTACTTATGATTATTTTAATAGTCCCTTAGAGAGATTAATTGATACTCCCTTGAAATGGTTCTTCCACATTGTCTTCCCACAGGAGAACTGTATTTTTGGAAGCTGATTTACAATGCTACCTCCTCTTCCACAGACTGACTGCTGTGCAGAGGGGTTTAGTCTATCTAAATTTCCAGAGTTCACAGCTCCACTCTAGTGAATGTCTTTATGTGGCAAGTCACAAAAAAAAATCTCCAGGAATTGCAGATGTCTGATTTGTGRAGCTAATTATTTTCTTATAAATTAGTTCATATATAGGACTTGAGATATGTGTAGTTCAGTATATTTCTTTATGGCTCTGAATAAAGCCAAAATGAATCCTGGTTTTAATGCTGGAGAATGCAGCCTTTTTTCCCAAGGCCAGGCTTAGAAAGTGTGAGTCTTTGAATACCCTAAACTGAGAAACTGTTTATCAGAGACTCATGGGCTTGGGTTCTGGCACTTTTTTTTTTTTGAGCAAAAGAAGTTATTCCTTGGGAATGAGGAAAGGGAGATCCTTTTTGGTATGGGGTCAGGGAGGGTAACAAACACGGGTTCAACAACATGTGGCTGTCATGGGTAACAACATRTGGCTGATACATGATGTCCTGTGTAGCTTTGCCATGCTTCCTTCTGCTTGGTAGGATTACTCAACTACTTCATCCAGCACACAGGAAAAGCAAAATAGCATTAGGATCTTAGAAAAGACTCGTGTGGTGACTGAACTGACAGCTCACCTGGAGGCCAAAGAGTGCTATGGCACAAAGTGTCGTAAGAGAAAGATGCTTCTGAGGAGAGCCAGCTAACCAAATCAGTGCCAGAAACCTGACTTCAAGCCCTTGAACCCTTACAGATCTACCTGTAATTAGACACTAACTACCCGGCAGGTCCTGAGGATGTTTTTAGACCTAACTAATCTGGTTCCTGTGCAAATAATAGGCCTTATTTTGGCCTATGACCACCTCATTTCTGAGATTAATTGAACTCCTTTGATATTAAAATATCATGGAGAGATTATAGATAGTACAAGGCAAGGTCAATCTAGTTCAGCGTCCTGACTCTGATGGTAGGCAGCAGTGTCTGAGAAAGGAGCACAGGGCAAGGGTAGTGCTATTTCTCCAAAACAAACTCCTGGCCTCCTGGCAGACAGATCCTAAGAACACAGCTATGGAAATAAAAAGATAGGGGGGCTCTTTGGACTAAAAAATCATCAGAACTGCTCCTTAATCATGCAGCCTCACTTGGGACAAATCAGCACTTTAAAAATGTCTGAAAATTTCTTATTTGGTCTAATAATGATTAATGGGTATTTGATGAGGAGACACGAAAAGGGAGAAATAAAATACTTATGATGCTGCCTGCTATCATAAAAGGCAGCAGAGTATTTTAATAATGATATTCTCTTTTAAAGTAATGGTGTATTGAATGAGGAATCTGACGGCAATACTAATTGAGGGTAGATGGATTAAGGATGTGTAGAAGAGACCAGGAACATACTGTAATGGTCAAATGTAGGGTAAAGGACCAGAGGAGCCAGAACACGACAGACAAGGCTCTAAGAGAACAGAACAAGACAAATGAGTGGCTTCTCCTGCAACACTGAAGGTATGTGGAAAGTTTCAAAGCCCAGGTGGGATTGGACTCTTGAGATTGTTCAGTCCCCTTCTGAAAGCCTGCTCTTCTTTTTGTTACCTCTTTGTCACTTCTCTTGGCAATCAGGAAGAGGAGAGAAATCCRGAAGGACTAAGGGTGAATAATGGAAAGAACATTACAAGTGAGTACAGCAACTAATTGAAATCTAAAGGAGCACAAACAAAATGAGGGAAACCAGAGTAGTTGATCTATTGAAGGGACAAGTCCCAGAGGGAGGATCCCATATTACTTTTGAGAGGGAAGACTGGTTTGGAGAAAAAAACAGTTTAGGTTAGCAAGTAACACAGTAGGAGGAAAATGCTATATGATTAATAAAAAGTGCATAGGACTGCATGTGCTATATATGGGAACATGTCACTTTTAAATGGAAAGAAAGATTTTGTTTTAATCAAAGATTTTTGTTTTAATTTTGTTTGTATTTTGAGACCAAAAAGGCAATTTTAATGGAGGAATATTTGTGGTTACCAGCAATCATGTTTTRTTTTTCATATGGCCATCATCATACAAGTCACAGCTTTGCACATTAAAGCTTAAAGTGCTTTCCCTTAAGTGCTTTCTCGTTTCAGGAGTTTGCATTACCAAACACTCTTTTTAAATATGGCTGGCATCTATCTATCTGCATGTTCTATGAGATTGCAGCATTGAAGGATTCACTCAGTATCTGAACTAAGAGAGTATACAGCAACAAGGAGAGCATACCTCCTTAACTCATTTTTCTCCTTTTCTCCTTCAAAGTGCGAATAAGGTAAAGACAAATTCTGGAAACACAGGACTCAAAGAAGAGAGGGGAGTATCTTAAGAGAGGTTTTTCCCAGGGACAAGTGTGTAATAAATATGTATTTAACTCACACATAGAAAAAACCTTTTTTTTTTTTTTGTTTAAAAAAACCTGAGGGGCAGTCATTAAGGTTACACATCTATTTTGTGTATATTTTATTTATTTAGCTTTATGATTATTTACAACTATTTATTATTTACAATTGAATCACCTGATGTCTGAAAATCAACTGGGATTTCTCACTTCGGTAATAATAGRTAACATAACTGTAGTCTGAAAACACAGTTCTGCTATACCTGTTTGGTACTGTAATTAAGTGTGCGGTTAGATAGCAAGCATTACCCTTAGTATGATGGTATGAATTAATCTTAAAAATAATAAGTTTAGCTTTTTAAGTGGTTTAATAGATAACTGTAGTAACTTTAAAAAAATGTCTCATTTTAGTAGTGCTAAATTTTGGGGGGGGGGAATGATTTTTACTTCATATACTTGTGCCTTTATATACAGGGTTGGGGGTAAGAAATCTTTCCGTGTGCCTCAAAGCTGTTAGCTGTTTTGTTTCACCATGGTAACGGGAGTATAAAGCAGTATGAGCATGTTACTGAAGTAGAGACATGACATCATTTAGGAATGGGATTACATGCGATGACTGCAGCTCTTGGGTGATTCTGAATGAGGATGTTTTCTAGCACACAGGCGCTGTCAATATGTGCAGATGTGCTAATTTAAGGCAAGGGTTAGGGATCCAAAGCTGACCTAAAAGAATCTATCAATCCATAAAGTTTGCAGTGGTGGAAAGGATTATCAGACATCAGATTGATTAAACTCTTCCAGAAGCATGACTCAACGTGTGAAGAACCCTGTGCAAAATCAAGGTTTAAACACACCRCTCCGTCTGAGGTTCAGATAATACAACCCATAAAGATTTAATGATATATTTTCTGTTTAAATTTGTTTACATACAGAAAAAAAGAACATGGGGATTGGACAAGGAAAATGACATCCAAATTAAGGCAGAATTATCTGTAAATTTCAGTCAGGTATCTTGCAATATTAACTAGTTTCATTCTGTTGCCATTTTGGCAGAACAGCGTATGTCAGGAGTCCCTCAGCAAACTAGCTAAAATAGTTCTTTCATGAACAAATGGACTGCTTAATCACACACTGACCTCTCCTTTGCTTTGATGCACTCTTACCCTTTTCTTTTGCTGACTGGTGACTGACTTACTGGACCAAGATAAAATCTATTCATTTGACCTTAAAAGTAAAGGAAAGATTCTGGGCAACCTTTTTCTCACCTGTACATATTGCGTCTTTTCCTGTTTCTATTCCAATGAGATGTTAGGTAGTACTGGGTTGAGCTAACCTTGCCGACCGAGTCGTGTTTYCTCCAAGCAGATATAGCCTGTCTGAGGAGCGAGCAGTGTGTGTATGTATGAAAGAGCCCTTTCCTTGTGCAGTTAAAACAGGGTGTCTTCCTTGCCTCCCTTCCCTTCCTCGGGGGSAGGTAAACATAATTTTTTCTGGTTCATGAAGCCACGCAGAATGCACCAACACAAGGCAACTTTGTGGCAAATACACCTTCCCTTCTGTTGCACTTCATACTGATTCTCTCGTGGTTTGACTTGCATTTCTTTCCCTRCAAGTGAAAATTAGCTTTCCTAGTCGGGTTCCCTAAGGAAGCCGACTTGTAGATCAGTGCTGCCTTTCAGCTCGTGTGAAATCCTCTCCGCTGTTTSTTTTCATGTTACTTTTGACCGAATTGGAAAAATCAAAAATTCAATCACGATACAACTTGTGAGGGTGGGGAGAGCCCCATATTAACGCCGTGCAGAGGAGGAGGCTGAGGGAAAAAGAGGGAAAACCGCTCAGTTTTGGTGAGCGGCTTGACTTCAGACGAGGAGTTCATGCACTGCAGAACCTTTGTTATCGCCGGCTCTGCTCAAGGCTCAGCCCTGTGCCTGGTCCCCGCTGCTGCGGGAACGGAGGTAGCTGCGCTCCTGCCCTTACATAACTGCGTTAACGGGGCTGTGCCAGGGAGCTATTTCGAGCAGCACTGCTTTTTTTCAAAGCCTGTACGCAGAACACCGTGAGGGACTAGGCCCGGCATGGGCGCCGGGGAGCGAGCGGAATACGGGCAGGGCGCTGCGAAGCTGTGGCTCGAATAGGGGCCCGGGGGGCATTTCGGGCGGGCTCTGGCTTCATGCGGGCGGCCGGGAGCTGGCACGGGGGTGGCTCGCAGCCCCGAGCGGGTTTATTGTGCTAGAGGGGTGCATCGGTCGATCTGCCGCCGCCAAGGAACCCGCCAGGACAGGGCGGCGGGGTGCGCTGTGCTCGGGGGGGGTATTTACGGTAATGGGGTCGTTACGGTAGCGCGGGAGGGCCTACGTGCGCGGGGGCGGGGCGGCGCGCGCACGGCGCCGGTGCGTGCGCGGCCCCGCGAGGCGCGTCTCCCTCGCGAGCTCGCGGTGAAAGGATTTGGCGCCAGGCGGGTCCCGCTCCGCAGCTCCCGCAGCCGCACGAATCCCAGCGCCTCCCGCCCGCACTCACCGCCCGCCGGGGCACCGACGCATCGCAGGCAGAGCTAGAGCCGCCCGTCCGTCCCTGCCCGCCGCCGCCCGCGCGCCGCCCAGGGACCGAGCCGCCAGTGCCGCCGCCGCCGCCATGAGCTGCTCGCCCGTGAACGTGAAGAAACTGAAGGTGTCGGAGCTGAAGGAGGAGCTGAAAAAGCGGCGCCTCTCCGACAAGGGCCTCAAGGCTGAGCTCATGGAGCGGCTCCAGGCCGCGCTAGACCAGGAGGAGACCGGCGGGGGCGGCCCCGCCAGCGGCGCGGCCGAGCCTGGCAACGGCAGCGTGGAGGGGGAGGCGGCCGAGAGCGGCGGAGGCGCCGCGCAGCTCCGCCAGGGGGGAGGCCCCGGCCAGGCCGCGGCCTCCGCCATGGAGGACGACGACGAGGAAGGGCTGGAGGCCGCAGATGGCGACGCCATGGAGCTGGGCGAAGAGAACGGCGAGCGGGCGGGGGCCGGGGGCGGCCCCATGGAGGAGGAAGCGGGAGGCGAGGAGGAGGAAGAGGAGGAGGAGGAGGATGAGAACGGTGATGACCAGGGTTTCCARGAGGGGGAGGACGAGCTGGCCGACGAGGAAGAGGCCGCGGCCGGGGACGCCAACGGGCACGGTGACCAGCAGCCGCAGCAGTCCCAGCAGCCGCAGCAGCCCCCGCCGCTCCTCCCGCCGCGCAGCGCCGCCGCCGCCAAGGAGGCTGCCGGCAAGAGCCCTGGGGGCGCCTCGGGGCCCGCCGCCGCCTCCGGCCCGGCGGGCCCCGCCAAGCAGCAGCAGCAGAAGAAAGCGGAAGGCGGCGGCGGAGGCGGCCGCCCTGGGGCGCAGGGCGCCGGGGGTGAGTGAACGTGGCGGCGGGCAGGGGGGGGGCGGGGAAGGGGGGCCATTAATCCCATCCCCCCCCCGCCGTGACGGGGGTTGCCCGGCCGAGGGAGGGGGGCCGTTTCCGGGGCGCGCGCGGGAGGACGTTGGCGGCCCCGCGCCTCGTGCTGCCATGGCGGGGGGGCGGGGGGAGGGGCCGGGGGGAGGGGCGGCCGAGGGGCCGCTGGGGCGCGCTGTGCATTGTGCGCCAGGCAGCGCTCGGCGCGCGTGACGTCACTTCCGGGCTGGGCGCCGCCGCCGCCGCACGGGATGGCGCTGGGAAGGCCTGGCGGTACAATGGAGGCGGGAGGAGGAGGAAGAATCCCTTCCCTGGGGCTCCCGCCCGCGGCCCGCCGGGAGGAGGCGCAGTCGTGCGGATCGCACGGTGCCCTTGCGAGAGGCCGCCAATGTCCCGTTGCCCCCGTGGTGGGCGGGTAGTGATGGTGTTGCGGGTCTGGAGGCGCGGCGGGTTAGGAGGGTTTTTTTTATTTTTAATTTCTTCTAAATTTTTTTTTTTCTAATTTTTTGCGTTTTTCATGGGGGTCATAACATTGAAAGCCGTACTGGCTTCTGCCAGTACTTCAACTTCCGTCTGCTAAATCGTTTCTGATTTGCGACAAGTATAGACTTTATCGAGAAAATTCAAAATGCAGGATTTTATCTCGGTAACATAGCAAAATTCCTTTTCAATATGTTACTATTTATCTCATGCYGTAGCTTCCTGCAGTTTGCAAAGTTGAAACCATCATATAGATTTTATTCCCTGTTAAACTAAAATTAAGTATAAYTAGAATAAATCATTGGTTCTGTTACAGGAGATGGTAAAACAGARCAAAAACCTGGTGAGAAGAAGAGGGGAGTGAAGAGACCACGTGAAGATCATGGCCGTGGATACTTTGAATATATTGAGGAAAATAARTATAGCAGGTAAATAAACTTGGTGCTAGGCAGCATTTTTGAATGAGGTGGCATGGAGTACAGAAATGTTATTTTAACMTTTTGAGAATACATGTAATCTTACTAMAYTTGCTTGGTTTTTGTTTTTTCAGGGCGAAATCCCCTCAACCACCTGTTGAAGAAGAAGATGAACATTTTGACGATACRGTGGTTTGTCTTGATACTTGTGAGTAAACATGCTTTCCTTTGCTCTGGAAAGATGTGGTGTTAAGGCTTKTAATCTTAATGCCACACTTTCTGAAACAGGGAGGATACATTTATTGACTTTCATTCCCARGTAACTAAAAAAAATAGAAAAATACTGTATTTCCATCTATTTTCAGTACACAAAAGAACAAAAGGATATATTTGCAGTAAGAAGCTTGGTTTTCCTGTGAAGTCTGTAGTGATAGACARCTCTGTGAAGAAAACTGAATCAAAACCCCAACCTAGTATGGAAGCTTAGGTAGCCAAGCGTAGAATGAGCATAGAACGCTGTAGAGACAGCTTGAGAAAACAGCTGTCCTGCACTATTGCCGGAAAGCTCAGTCAATAGCCTATGTGGTCACAAAATACAGTTTGAGCAGTGAGCTTCCTACTTAAGTTCCCCCATTAAGGTACCAATCAGTGGAGTGTTGAGTGTTCTGTCTTCTGATTAATTTAACAAAGTCTGGTGAGGCCTTCTCAAAAATAACCCATTCATTTAACCAGTGAGTGTGTGGGCTTGGGGTGGTGATTTGTGCAAGTAGAATGGCAGGGAAAATTGGTCAGCTGCCTCAGAWATTGAAAAGTATCTGCAAACCAGGTTTTTTGATGCAGATTATAAACATTACTATTACTGTAGTACACTGTAATGGGAKAGTTGATGTTGGTATTTGTGAGGGCAAGTCTCAGGACTCAGTGCAATGTTAGAAAAYTGATCTTGAAGTAATGCTTGAACTTGCTGGGTTCTTAAAGTGCCATGGAAAGAAAGTTTAACTTTTGGCATTATCTGGCATATTTGTTAGAAATTTTATGTGGTTTTTATTCCACAAGAAATGCTTTGAAATGGAAGGAGGTATTCGTTTACAGCCATGTAAATTGCTGAATATGCCATCCCTGACAGTTTGCTAACTAAGTCTCAAGTTTCTAGCTCCTAACCTGGTGAGTAGTCACTTCTGTGGGAGCTTTGGATTTTTCCAGTAACAGAGTAAAATAGCTACTTTTCATTATTACTGTTTCTAGTAATGGTAGTATTTTCTAGGGGGAAATCTTGTTACTGCAAAAACTCTGATTCAAAGTGTTGACAGACTCTTTGGATTAAGATTCAAACACAGCGTTAAGGCTGAATTGTGTAACGAATTGGCACTCTCTCCTGGATAACGATCCAGGCAAGTAAGAGGTTTAGCCACTCTTAAGTGCTTTTTATTACCTRTGTCTTACAAGGAAGCTGTAACTTCAGATTCTGTCCTCATCTCCTGTTCTAGAAGTAGCCTGCGAAGGTGGGTTTCTTCTGTAATATTTTATCTGCTTTTCAYGCAACAAGTAAAAGTTGGTACTGATGAGAAGAAACTTGGATCACTAATGGTATTTTTGAAATTGGGGATGGTGGTATGCAAACAAAATCTTGTGCGTAAGAGTTGCCAGTAATTCAAGACTGAATTTAGTGTGCTATGGCATCGTACAGGTTTTACACCAGAGCAGAATTCCCCACTGTTYGCTAATTCTGTGTCTTTCTTGTAACCGTGAGATAGGTTTGGAGCTGCTTCTGTGGTTTCTTTGCTGTGGGGAATTCAAGTGTTGTATGCTATGTACAATTTGCTGTTGTCTTTCTGAAACATACTGGGAGATTATTTTGCAATTTCATAGTGTACAGCTCTGAAGATGGTTTTAAAACCAAGGTTCCACTTAAGTTCTTAGAGTGATGGATGACTTCATAGTGTGTCAGTCATGTTTCTGGGCTGAAGTAAGTTCTCTTAGCACACACAGTGGTTAGCATATCTRCATCTAACTTAACTGCCTTTGTTTTAGTTGGCATGATCTAACTGGACTTGCTAATTGACTGTATTAACCAAAGAGTATGTTCATACTTAACTAAAAACACTTGTGTTCACATTTACATCTTAGCAGCCCTCAGGTTTGAGCTTGAGCAGTAAGACTACTTCAAAAGCAGGTCTCTAGAGAGAGCGCGATGCAGATGGCTCTGTATTGATGGAAAGAGGGTTCAAATATATAAGGTAAAAGGGTTTTTTAAGCAGATGTAAAATATAGAGGGAAATTGGGTGACAGAAGTGAAGATGGCATCTTGAAAATTACTCTTGTTAGCTAGCTTTTCCTAAGATTTTTGGCTGAGCTTCAGTTTGCGGTTCCATCTTAGGCATGAGTTCGGTTGCCTCTCTGAAAGATCATGGGTACTTGCTTTAAAATCACCTTTGAAAGCTGATATCTTCAATGCATAAAATCGTATATTATTTAATTTGTAATCAGAGTAAACAGAATTATTTTTATATTAACAGATAACTGCGACCTGCATTTTAAAATCTCAAGAGACCGTTTTAGTGCTTCCTCTCTGACCATGGAAAGCTTTGCTTTCCTTTGGGCTGGAGGRAGAGCCTCCTATGGAGTTTCTAAAGGCAAAGTCTGCTTTGAGATGAAGGTGAGTTAATCTAATGTTTATGGGAGACTTTTACACGCTTAAATTATTTATAATATTTATAATATTGTAAGTTATTTATAAATACAAGTATTTGCAATATTTGCAATATTTATACATGTCACATTTTTTTTACTTAGTTGAAACTAATTTGTGTGAACAGGACTCTTGAAGGGCCTTGTTTGATAAGAAGATGGCTCAATTTGAAAAACAGTCTCCTCCTTTATAAGAACCTCCATTTAAAAAAAAACAAAACAAACAACCACCCCACAAATTTAAAAAAAGCCCCTGAAACCCACAAACCCGCTGCATTTGTTCTAAATGTGAGACTTTTGGTCTCATTTTTTAAGTAAGAATTCTACTTGGTATCTCATGAATCAGTGCTGAAAGGATTTTCATACTCTCTAGTCAGAACCTTGCTTRTACTTTCTGAAGATTACAGAAAGCTTAACTTTTTTTTTTTTTGAGGGATATAAATTATCCCAACAGCTCTTTSTGGTTCTGCTTAGCCTTTGAGTTTTATCTGCTCGAGGCAGGGATGACCTCTGGAGGTCCCATCCAACATTATTAATTCTGACTTAATGCATTGAAAAGTGAGTATTTAGCAGGTAGTTGAATTTTGTTCTCCTGTAGGGTAGAATGGCAAAGGTCAATCAGCCTTCTAATAAACTGATTTTTCCAACGTTTCARTGAAAGAGGAGCAAGATAACAAAGCTTGAATTTATTTTTCTTTTTTTACTTATCAGTGTTAAAGGCCTGTGTATATAAATATGTTTTCTTCTAGTGTCATCAAATATGACTACTACCATGAGAMTGGGATAGTGACCCCATTCTCCAGGCTTGTGCCTGGAGTGATTTCTGTGTCTGTTAAAACATGTAACTTTGGAAGGCCTGTGAAGTGAAATTTATGTCACTGTTGACCTGTTCACTTTCAAATGAGTTTCACCTCAGTCACCTGACAGGAATAGTTGCAGAGCCTAAAAGCCTGCAGTTTTTCRCTTTATTTTAGTAAAGTTTGTAAAGATAGTTAAAAAATAGCTGGTTGCATATAGATTCCAGTGCATGTAGGTGGTTTGTTGGGGGTTTTGGGGTGGTTCTGTTTGTTGTTTTTTTCTAAATCTGTTTATGTTGTTTGGAAGCTGGCAGCTTGCCCAGGAAGTCTGCTTACAGTGAAAAGGGATGAGTGTAATACTTTCCCTAGTCTCTAAAAAGCAGTTTAATACATTGCACGTTTTCTTAGCTAAGTAAYTTACTGTTAATCCCAACTTTATGGCAACTGGGTTTTTTTAATACATATATGTATTATTTGTGGTTTTAATACAGTGTCAAAAGGAGTTAAGGTTTTTGGCCACTGAGAGGGACTGCTGTGAAAAAAGTGATGAAGATTTATGGTATCTTCTTCTTCATTGCTAAGTCAGGAGATAGARCTCTTTAGTCACTGGCTTGTGGTTTCATATTCTTAAATATGTTTTATTTTTGTAGAGGGTGATCACTTAGACTTAGCAAACATGTAGCAAAGTGTCAGGGTTCCAAATGTTACCTTTTATGCTTCTGTCTTGTCAGTGTATAATAAATACTGCTTACCTTTTACTGAATAATTTAAAAATAGGTTACAGAAAAGATTCCTGTTAAACATCTGTATACAAAAGACATTGACATACATGAAGTGCGAGTTGGCTGGTCATTGAACACAAGTGGAATGTTGCTTGGTAAGATATAAATGTTTGATTGCTTTTGTGTTGATGTGGCTGAAATTTTAAATTTTTCTGATGTGGAGGGGACAAACTGATTGTAGTCTGTTGAGAAAAACAGTCTTAACTTGAGTCATGCACAGACAWGGTGTGATGAAGTTTATTACTAAGACCAAATAAAGTCATAAAATATTGAGGCCTGTAAGTGTTAGGGCCATCATTTGATAATTAATTCTTCTAGTAATCATGTATGGGTTGTGGAGAACATTCCTGAATACCTGACAAAATAAAGGATATCTCCTTTTCATGTAATGTCATAAGTAGGGAAAGGGGGGTTGCCCTTCCCCCTACTTTTAAAGGGTGGGGCATGGTCTAAAATTTAACCAGTGGTAACTAGATTTATGGTTTTTTTTGCATGGTTGGAAAAKCTTAATTTCTGAAAATAGCTGGAAAGAAAGAAGTACAGCTTCATTAGATATGACATGATTGCAGTAATATTACTTGTTACTGAAACACGTCTTTGGATTTTGTGAGTTGATATGTTCTGACATCAGCAATGGCTTTCTACCTAAGTTACACCTGAGTCCTTGTGTTTGACACTTCCTGTTAGCTTGTTCCTTGCAGYTTCGTCTTCAGCTGTTGCATAGGCTGACTGTCTGCTAAACTCCCTTTAAAATGGGAGGGGTAAGTGCTACTGGAGACTAAGTTCAGAAAGCCTTTCTGACTACATTACAGCAGGTATACCACTGCATAATCAGGTCTTCACCTTTAAAAATACTTGCTCGTGTCTTTATCTGACAGTTCAACTTTATTGTCAGCATGAATCTGAAACCAGCAACATAAGACTCTTAAACTGGGATGAGGAAACACTGCTATTCTATCTCAAGTAAAAGTATTGAATAGAAGAATGAGCTTTTGTAGCTTTTGGGGGTCATCATAGCTTGTTTTGACATTAATAAAAATATTCTGGACAGCAACTTACGTAAGTAGCCATAAGGTGATTTATGTCTAAAACATTAGATGGGAATGCCTATTTGTAATTAATGTAAATTCTTTCTTCAGGTGAAGAAGAATTTTCATATGGGTATTCTCTAAAAGGAATAAAGACATGCAATTGTGAGACTGAAGACTTTGGTGAGAAGTTTGATGAAAATGATGTGATTGGATGTTTTGCTGTAAGTTCTCACTTCTATTTTCTTTTGAAGGAAAACATCCTTGAATTTTTAGACTGCTTTTATGTGAGAAGCAGTAAAGCGAATCAATAAAATCATGGGAGTAAGACAAGTTGTTTAACATTGGAAAGCGATAGATGCAGCAGCTATTACTTACAGTGACTGCTGGCAACATAATTTTGTATTCATAGACTAATGTCTTTAAAGCCTTTAACAAAAAAAAAGTCAGATCTTGAACAAAATGTTCTTTGATAGTGACTCATTAGAAAATTGGTTTTAGTTCCTTTATAAAATTAGCAGTGTTACAAAAGTTGAGTGAATATTGCCAGTAYAGTGAAATGACTAATTAGCTGTATAAAGTGAGTTAATTTTATCCTAACTAATGCTTTGTCTGGAAAACAGAATTTTGATGGTGATGAAGTAGAACTCTCATATTCCAAGAATGGACAAGAGCTTGGTGTTGCATTCAAAATAAGCAAGGAAGTTCTTGATGGGAGACCACTCTTTCCACATGTTCTCTGCCATAACTGTGCGGTTGAGTTTAACTTTGGTCAGAAGGAGGAACCGTACTTCCCTGTACCTGAAGAGTATACCTTCATCCAGAAGGTCCCCCTGGAGGATAGAGTCCGAGGACCAAAGGGACCTGAGCAAAAGAAAGATTGTGAGGTAAGTTTCTTCTGATCATCTCAGAAGTTAAGTCAGGTGGATGGAAATGGTAAAGAGACTATTTCACCACACCCCTGACATTTTGTTAAGGAGCTTTAATACTTACTCTCTCATGACCTGTTCCATCCCCACCTGCAACACTTGTCCTCATCCCCTCTCAGTATCCATTGGGCTTGCTGGGCTTATATTAGAAAATCTTTGAACTAGTATTTCAAATAGAGAACTTGTTGTCATAGGTGGTGATGATGATTGGCTTGCCTGGGGCTGGCAAGACTACATGGGTTACCAAACATGCAGCAGCAAATCCTGGGAAATACAACATCCTTGGGACTAATACTATTATGGACAAAATGATGGTAAGTGATAAGGCATTTTATTTCTTGATATATTAAAAACTTCCTGTAAATCCGTGGTCGCTGGCTGCTGTGGGGTTCTTTTGTATCAGAGATACTGGCTACTTGTTAGCTAGTGACCATTCTTGTTGAAGAAAAGATGGGATTTGGCACTTAGTGCCATGGTCTTGTTGACAAGGTGGTGGTAGGTCATAGGCTGGACTCAGTGATCTCAAAGGCCTTTTCCAACTTAATGATTCTGTGTAAAGATTTTGTTACCTGGCTGAGCTGGTAATTCACACATGACAGCAGAATTCGGAATCTTTTTGTGGTAATATGTAAGAAGTAGTCAGCTGTAGTTGACTGTTTAATGTATTTCTATTTCTCCTTGTAACACTGTTCTCAGAATAGAACATTTAGCTGCTATTAGTATTGTGATGAATATACCGTGAACTGCTGAAGAGTATCAGTTCTCATGCAGTCTTTGTTTATATATCTCTTATGTTCCACGGGGGCTTGAGAATTTAATTTACAAGCTTGCAGCAGCTGTGGCCTTGAATCTGAGAAGTCAGGTGGAAGCCATTTAGGCAAAGTGTCAGCCACATATATCAAAACTACACTCACTAACTCTGGGAAATCTCTCCATAGGTTGCAGGTTTTAAGCGTCAGATGGCAGACACTGGAAAACTTAACACACTGTTGCAGAGAGCTCCTCAGTGTCTTGGAAAGTTCATTGAGATTGCAGCTCGTAAGAAGCGGAATTTCATTTTGGATCAGGTAGCACCTTCAGTGAAAAACGGTTAAAGAAATTTGTTATAGGCTGTATTGTAGTATTTAATTGGGATTAAAGTTATATTATAATAGCAGTTGTTTCAGTTACTGACTTACTACTCATTCACGGGACACAAAGTTGAGATATTACTACAAATGCTTGTCTGACCTTCTCTAGATTTATGGGATGTGGGAGGAATAGTGTTTAAACAAGTGGATATGAGCTCGTAACTTTGCATTATGCAGCATCTTTATGTCCAGTTATTTGTAAACTTCATTGCAAGCTCTTGTAGAGGTGAAGTCTATACACCATAAGTTGACTTCCTTAACTCTTACAATGACAGCTACGTGTAGTAAGTTACTGCATTTTTTTCAGACAAATGTGTCTGCAGCTGCGCAGAGGAGAAAAATGTGCCTGTTTGCAGGCTTCCAGCGCAAAGCAGTTGTTGTTTGCCCAAAAGATGAAGACTACAAGCAAAGAACACAAAAGAAGGCAGAGGTGGAGGGAAAAGATCTTCCAGAGCATGCAGTTCTCAAAATGAAAGGCATGGAACATAATCCTATACTGTGTTTTAGGATGCTGAGTATCTGTTTAACGGATTAAGTAAACGTGAAGTCTAAAAAAATCACTTTATCTTAAACAGTTGTACTTATACAAAACTGGAAGACTATTGTAACTTGGTAGGATAACACTATATTGTGTTCCCTCTGCTGCAGTCCTTAACACTACTCAGTTATGGTGATACGCTTCATGCAGATGCACAAAGCTGTCTTGGCATAAAGTGCCCTATATAAGTGACATATTTGGCAGAAACTGGTGTTCTGAGTGGAGGCTTATAAAAGAAAAAAAAAAGACAGGCAGAATGTTTTTGAGGTTTGGAACAGTACTGGCAACTCCATGAAGACCTGTTTATTTCCTTTGTCACTGCTACATTTCCTAAATGCTCAAATTATGTAATTTTGTCCCTATGCTAAGGGGATGGAGAGGGTGGGAGGAAGAATGGGAGAAAGGTGGTTATATTGCGGCTGTGATTGTARCTGAATGGAGATGCTGAATACTCAGTGTTTTTGCAATTATAGGGAACTTCACACTGCCAGAGGTAGCAGAATGTTTTGATGAAATAATCTATGTAGAGYTGCAAAAAGAAGAAGCTCAGAAGCTTTTGGAACAGTATAAAGAAGAAAGTAAGAAAGCTCTTCCGCCAGAAAAGAAACAGAACACTGGCTCAAAGAAGAACAAGAAGAGCAATAAAAATCAATTTAATAGGGGTCAGAGAGGACGTGGAGGATTCAACATGCGGGGCAACTTCAGAGGAGGAGGTGAGCCTAGAAATAAGTATGACTTCTGGASGCTGCTGCTGCTGGGGAAAAAGGTTGTAGTACTTGCATTGCAGCTATTACGTAGTGATCTCCATTTGATCTCCATTTMAGTGAAGCTTAACATTTTAGTATAGTTAATTGTCTAGCTTGAGTGAGAGGATTGTTAGAACCTTGCACTGTTCCTTTCATGTAGGAAATATGTAAGACCTAACAATTATTTGATTGAGGTAACTCTCTCCCTGCAGTCCCTGGCAATCGTGGTGGATACAACAGGAGGGGAGGCAACATGCCTCAGCGAGGTGGTGGAGGTGGCGGTGGTGGCGGTGGCAGCAGTGGAGCAATTGGCTACCCGTATCCTCGCGGCCCTGTCTTTCCAAGCAGAGGTGGCTACTCAAACAGAGGAAACTATAACAGAGGTGGAATGCCCAACAGGGGAAACTACAACCAGGTGAKGTTTTGAAGGGGTCTGACTAGCTGATACTAGGACACTTCCTTTGGATGATGTTGTTTGACAGCTCTGGTGCCTGTGAACAGTCACAGACTTGGTTGTGGTGCTACACTGATGCCGCGCTTCAAGGACTTGTAGTTTACTGCATGCTCCCAGGGCTTTGAATGTTGTGTAACAAGTGCTGGTGCAGATGTGGGGATTTCATGTTAGGGCTGTACCTCTGTCCTGTTGAAAATGAAGATTTTTGGTGCATGTCTGTGAAGGCTTGTGTTTGGTTTTTTGTTTGTGTGTTTTTTCCCTGATCCCAGCCCTTCCCTAATGGTAGTAACTGTTTGGCCATAGGGTCAAAGTGTATGTTTACCAAGCATTTAGGGAACTTCCTCAAAGTAGCTCTGCACAGAGTCTTTGTTTTGGTGCCTGGTATCAAACACAACCAGTACAGACACTCTAGCCTAGGTCTTACCTGAATATCGATGGAAGTATTGGAAAACAAAATTGGGATTACTGAAGAGCCAGCAGATGGAGCCCAAGCCAGTAAACATGGCTCAGGTTTGCCTAACAGGGGAAAAGCAACATTTTATCTAGTGTATCAACATCCCTTTATTGTACCATAACTTCTATTTGAAGTTTTATGGACTAACTCTTCTATTTTCAGTTATGTGACCCATATCCTTTTGTCTGATCAGATATCCTTGTAGCAACTACAGCCTTTCGTAACTAAAAATAGACAAGCTCTTGTATTTTTAGTTGTCCTGGTGCATTTAGCAGCTGGAAATAGGGTGAGTCAAAACTGGATTAGCCAGCTCTCCAGACCACTAGCAACAACAGTTTGAGCTGGTTTATTAATTCTGAGGTTCTTGCCCAATGTTTAAAAAGCAGTTGCTTAGAGGGGAGGGAGGAAGCCATTGCTATTCTAGTGTCTTTYGGGGAAGGATTTTTTGGTGGTGTGTGTTTCTTTTAACCTGGGGGCTGATAACTTTTATTTTAAAGCTTCTATATGGTGGGTGATGTTTTGATGGTAATAAAGATTGGTATTAGGACACTTATGAAAAATGCATATAGATGAAGGAGTTAAAAACTCTTGTCCTCTTGCAGAACTTCAGAGGAAGGGGAAATAATCGTGGCTACAAAAACCAATCTCAGGGCTACAACCAGTGGCAGCAGGGTGTAAGTAGTCCCAACTTCACCTTTTTACTGACTGTTAACTTGAATATTGCAAAAATGCTGACTGAAATAATTAGATGCATAATCAAAACTGGATAGCAAAATCTTTTAATGTTAGGTAATATCACTATAAATAGTCTCCTGTGCAAAACTTAATCTGGCTTGATGGTCTTGATATATCAAATACCAGCTGTGGCTTAACGTTCTTAATGGTATGTAGTATTTGGCTTCACATTACTGCTGTGAAGAACTGCCTTCAGTTRTTTGGGATCTTGCTGCTATTGGAGAGGTTCCAGGGGGACTAAATGTTTGCTAAATGCTTTCTTTTATCCCAAATAAGAAACTTAAACATTATGTGATTGCAGGTTAAAACTAACTATTTGTTAATCTGTTCCAGCAATTCTGGGGTCAGAAGCCATGGAGTCAGCATTATCACCAAGGATATTATTGAATACCCAAATAAATGAACTGATACATATTTCTCCAAAACCTTCACAAGAAGTCGACTGTTTTCTTTAGTAGGCTAACTTTTTAAACATTCCACAAGAGGAAGTGCCTGCGGGTTCCTTTTTTAGAAGCTTTGTGGGTTGATTTTTTTTTCTTTTTTTGTACATTTTTAATTGCAGTTTTAAAGTGATTCGTAAGAGAACCTCAGCATTGTGCACGATAAGAGAATGTGTCAGTATTTCAGGGTTCTACATTTTATCTGTAAAATGTGACTTTTTTTTTACCACAACAAAAGTAAAACGTTGCTTTTTACCTGGTGTCTTTTTATTAAAGAATTTTCTCCTTTTTCCCCATCCCCCAATTTCTAAGAAACAGTCGTGAGTCATGTCACAATATGATAGAAATGTTAGCAACCAGATGGAGGCATCTTAGTAGCCCTCAAATACCATGAGATTATGTAAAGCTCCCTATTACACTCCATCCTCTCTATGAAGCTCTTGGGTGGGGAGGGGAGGAGGGGGAGGCAAAAGTTTCTGGCAATAACTAGGACTTTTTTGTAACATTTGGAACTCAAGATGTTGGGGGCAAAGAGGAAACTTGGGGCTAAATAGTGAYGGTGGAGTGTATGTAGAAGCTCTTAAAGTTGTAAAACTCGGTTGCTTTATTTGTGGAGGCTCAAACTTGTGAAGGTACAACACCATGATTTTTTTTCCATTTGTTCTGCATTTTGATTCTGAAAAGAAGCTGGCTTTGCCCATTTCTTATTAAACAAAACTTGTTGTAAATCCAGTTGTCTAATGGGATCTATATGAAGTTAGCTGTGTGTCTGTATAACTCTTTCCCCACAAAATACTGTATACCTAGTGTGCTTGTAGTAGTTACTCCACCATTTTGTAAGCTAATGAAACTGTGAGTCACCCATTTTATATCTTAATTTTTAATCATGTCAATTCTCAAATGGGTGTACCTCCTTAGCCTGCTGATTCCTTTTCTCTTTAAAGAAAGTGGGTGGAAAAGTTTAGCTCTAGACATTTGTTTGCAATAAAATAAATTCATTTTACTCTTGTTTGGGATTGTTGCCATCAAGGTCTAAAATCCCGTTAATGCTATAAAGAGGAAGAGAATGTATGAGAGCGATGATGTTGGACAGTTTTAAACTCGTTACTGTACATGCTGAAATACTTGTTTGTTTTTTAAACAGTCTAAACTGGTGGTTGCTCTGTTAGAGATCTATCACATGTATAATTCACAGTTTAACATGGTTATATGTATAGGGCAAAAGTCTTTGAGTTGCACTTGCATCATGTAAATCCATTTAACCTCTTTTTTGTAAAATAGACTTTAGGGAAGCAGCAGGGGAAAGAATTGGACAGGGAGCAGGGACAGGAGGAAGGGTTGTTGTAGAGTTTTTAAAAGAGCTTCAATTTGTTTTAACTGCTATTTTATTCAGCTTTATGATTCTGTAAAATTGTAGTGGCAATGTTAGCTGCTAACTTACTTGCGTTTTAATGCCGTGAGACAGGGAGAAGATGTACTCGTACGTGGGACACGGGGTACACATGGGAGAACGCGTGTCACTGCCAGCGTCGGGGCATTGGGGTGTGCTGGCAGAGTCCCCGTGGCAGTGTATGGACTAGCAGGGGCTTCCTGGCAGCAGCCTAGAGCTAGAGTCGTGTGCTGTGCTTGAAACTTTTCTCCAGTGTTAGTCAATTTCTAGTAGAATTCAGAAGTAAAGATAAACTTGTGTTGCCTCTCTAGCCTTTATAGCAGATGCCATTGCATATTGACATTAAACATTAACAGCACCACCTCCTTGTTAATAGTGCTTTAAATCATCCCTTTACTTTGAATGAGAAAAATGTAAATTGTCTTTAAAGAAACACTAATGAAATTTGGGGAATTGAAACCCAAATCTGTTTYGCTGAAATGGAGTTTTCTTTAAACTTGCAAAAAAAAGTTTAGTGTAATTGAAGTCCATTTCCCTTCTACCCTCCTCACAAGAACTAACACTTTGTATGAAGTGCTGATCCTTTGCTTATTTTGGTACTCTATAAAATTATATAGTCTTAAACTAAAATATAAGAGCCTACACTTACTATGTGGTTGTAAAGCCTGTATTTCAATTCAAAAGTCTGGCATGTTTTGTTCTCAGTTTTTTGCTGTATGGTGTTTAAGAAAAATCCCAACAATGGCCACATGTGAAGTGCTTCAACTCTCACACTCCGAAGAGGAGTGTCTTGTTTCTGTTTAAARTACTCCTTTCTGACAAAAGTTGTTTTGGTAAGTTCAGTGCTGTCTCTACTGTTCTGAGGAACACAATTCAAAAAAAGCTTCAGCACATGCACTATTGGGACACATGTAGTTCAGAAAGGGGGTGGAAAAGTCCGAAGCACATCCCGCTCATGATTCATCAGAGTTGAGTGGAGACCAGCACTTGTATGAAGCTGTCTATTCAGCCTTGGTCCGCCCACACAAGCTTACTCTTAACGTAGCTCTGAATATTCCCAGAGAAGATTTCTTTTGCCATGTGAAAATGGCTTTTATGGAGAAGCAGTTACCGAGAAAGTCACTAATACTAAAAACCCTGCAGTTTCCATTTTAAAAAAAAGACAGTATGAAACTTAGCCCGTGGCTACAGAAAGGTGAGGAGGGTACAGCTGTACATTGCCAAAATGCGAGGGCTGAGCCATCTGTCACGTTCAGTGRTTTCTTGCAGCTTACAAGGGCTTGTTTACATGCAGAAAAGTACCTGGATTAGAGCAGCCATGCTGCTGGTGGCCGTGGCAGGATCGTGGCAAAGAACACTGGGATTTGGGTTCATGGTTCTGGGTGTTTTTCCTGTTGGAGTGCAAACTGGRTTTGCTCTTTCCTGAGGGGTTTTTCCTACTAAAGTACAAACCTGGATAGCCTTGGGCTTGGCTCTGGCAGTAGGGTCACAGCACAGGATGCCTATGCCGCTGTTGGCAGCAGTGCCATCGCTGCTGGTGGAACTCCCCGTGGAGCCCTGTGTGATGAAGCTGCTGCCATCTCATCCTTCAGCTGGCGGTGGCCGCTCCGCCTTGTGTGAGGGGCTGTGCTCGCTTAGCCATAGGCTCCAGGCAGGGCTGTGCTGGGTGTCCCGGCAGGAAGCGCCCATTTAACAACCAAACAAACTCCAGCTGTATTTCTGCCTTTGCTAGTGACAGTCGCTAGGATACACATTGTGTACACGGAGGTGCTTCCCTGACATGCCTCGGTCTTGGCAAGGGGCTGAGTCCTGCGTGAAAGGACTGTAAACAGACTCAGCGGTGGGACGTCAGGGACAGGCTTTGGTTCTGGGATGGCTTATGAGGTCCCTGTCCCCAAACCCGGCTCTGCTGTCAGGAGCTGGCCCTTCCGTGTGCTGCACCGCTTCCTGTGCTGCGCGGGCAGTACTCGGCAGTGCTGCCACCTGTATGCAGGAGCTCAGTGTAAGTGGCACCTGTAAACGAGTTCCTTTCAGTGCCTACTGCAGGACAGCTCTGCAGCAAAGACGTTTTTACATATGCCCACTTTTTCTGATAGTGGAATGAATTAAACCAGTCTTCTGGCAATGCCATGTGCTGTCCAAGCCATATGTATTTAAAAAAAAAAAAAATCTTAGTTGTTTATTTTTTCCTTGCAACACCCCAAGCAATGCTTTTAATAGAAATAGGTGATGAAGTTATCTTTTAAGATTAGGAAGTCTCCTTGTTCATGACCTTTTGAAAAACTAAGCCAGTGCTTGTTGACAGGGAAACCTCAGACTAAGTCACAAGATATCAAACTGAGTTACAGAGACATGAAATACTTTGACACTTCTGCAGACATTTAACTGTCAGGGGCTGGGCTCTCCCAAGCCGAGAAGAGAGCACACACTGTATTTGGGAACTAGCAAGGGAGGAGTAAGTACAGCTGGAGACAACTTGGCCCAAAGCGCTGTGGAGGATGGGGAAAGCTCTAGGATATCAGAAAAAGCTACTGAGGGGAAAGCGGAAACTCGGAAGTGCAGCTTTGTAATGCAGCTACCCGTGCAACAGACGGGCTGTGGTGAAGTTAGAGCAGCGCATCTCTCACACCCTCATCCTGGGCAAAGTCCCCCATGCAGGTAGAGGGGGAAACAAGGCCCTCTCTTCAAACCGTGGCAGATTAGTGGCTGTTTTGGCTTCTCTCCTTTGCAAGGCACCATCTCCTCCAGCACAGCAGGCCTCTCCAGAGCAGCGCTTGCAGGGAGCTGGCTGAAATCAGCACTTGGCCAGCAATTACTCTGGATGCAACTCTTGCCTTAGTTTGTTTTTCTGCCAGTACTAGGAGCAGCACGAAGATTCAGCAATGAATTGGTTGCTATGTAAACTTAACTGTAGCTTAAAAAAGATGCTCAATACTTAACATATCAGCACCAATAGCAAAAAACAAAGGCAAGTGTAAAAAACCTAGAAATACAATTATTCATGTGGTTGACTKGATATGCAAGTGTTACTTGAAAGCACGTTTTTGTTCTGTCTTCTAGTTTAGTAGACAATCTTTGATCTGCAGAGTAATTTTGGTCCTAGAAGTTACTGAAATTAAAACTATGGGTAAAACAACTCAGCCAGTTTTTGCCTCAAACCTTTTCACGCTCAGAAAAGTTATATAACTTGGTAGCCGAGGGCAGATTCAATTTCCACTAATTCCAGGRACCCACTGCCTGGTTAGCACAAAAGGATTGGAAGGGTACTCTTTTTTTCCCAGTGTTAATTCTCCCTTAGCTAGGATCAGCTGCTTACTAGGACACCTCTGATAACTCCTGTGGCATGTAAATGCAAGTATGTGTCTTCCAGTCTGAGTGTGGCCTTCATTTATGCCACATTAGCCTGCAATAACTCTTCAGCCACTCTGTCTCTGGAGGTTTTCCTCCAGGTGTTAATGAAGATTTGTTTGCCTGAGACATGGMGAGTTCTAAAATGGTGCTGATGCCCAAGGCAGTTGCAAAATAAAAAGGCCCAGAATAGTACTGGAGATCTCCCTGGACATCAATACACACTTAAAATGCCAATGATTRTTTACAAGGTGGTAGGTGCACGAAAGGTCTCTTTTCTGATTCTCTTTTTTCAGTTTCCATGTAACTTACTCATATGCAAGMAAGAGCTGTTCTGGGGCTCTGCTGAACCTTCAGCTTTGTAGGGCTGTTGAGCAAGTAGGTAAGATAAGCCTTGTATTATAAAAGGACTTTTGTCTTTGTGGTAAGAAAGTAGTAAGAGATGGGGGAGAGGAAATTAGTAAGTCTCAAAGGAGGGATTTACTGTAGCAGCTTTTTCTGAAAGAAGTGACACTTT